TTTTTTTTTTTTTTTTTTTTTTTTTTTTTTTTTTTTTTTTTTTTTTTTTTTTTTTGAATGATTAAGATTTCATTACACTGATGAAGACTGATTGTAGATGTTGAAGAGTACGATTAGAAGGCATGTGGCTTGAAAAAGCACCTTTAGTGGCGGTGAATCGATATTACTAACTCCCTGAATTGGAGCGATAAGGGAAGAGAAAAAAAATTTTTTTAAATTTCAGTTACATTCTGGTTCACGGTTGATGTCTGAAAGTATTCTTCGCTTGGACATCCTGGTTTTTATACTCGAGCTTGCCTCTGTAAACAAATTTAAGTTTTTCGTGTTTCAGCCCGATTTTATCTTTCAACCAGATTTTTGGAAGTGCGAGAGAAGAAACATGCTACAACTAAGACAAAACACACTGACAAAATCACACGTGTCGATCAAATAAACCGACAGATTCTGACGACTGGTAAGCAGAAATTCCAAAGCGGCTTGAAAAGGGGGAAAGTGAAACAAATGCAAAACAAATTTGGCGACCCGATGTCACAATTTTACTTAATTACGTCGAAAAAATTTTAAATTTTAAGATGATGCACATTTTTACACAGTTTTAAATATTGTTAATTTTGTTTGTCCAAAAATAAGATTAGAATGAAATTGGAAAATCAGTTAGTTCAGGAGAAATTGAATTATAAATATATCTCTTTAAAATTTGCTTTTCAGAAACTTTTCGACCCATTTCCTTAAAATTTTGTATTTTATCATATAAAATTACATTCTTTAAAATAATTTAAAAATTTCCATTTCAAAATTTTTTCGACCGTTATCAGACAAAATAATAAAATATAATAAATAATTAGTAAAAATTATTTTTTTCTTAGAGATATCTTTAGATTAACAAATTTTATAATTGAGTGCAAAAATTTTTGAATTCTATTTAAAAAAATATCTCGAGGAGATATGGTGAAATACACAAAAAGTAAAACTAACACTAAGGGGGCTGTAGACCGCTCCCCTAACCCAACATTTTGGGACCCTATTTCAAAGATTGCGGCTACTCCCTACATCTTGAGGATCCAAATTCATCGAAAAAAGTGAGTTTATTCAGAGAAAGTACATTTTTCTGTATTATTTTGAAACTTAAAATATCATCAGCCCTATTTAATAAGTACATTTGAGGTCATCCTCGCAAATCCCCTCGTTATTCAGGGTGCTTCGTTTTTACTTTTGCTCACTGAGCATTGATTGCCTTAAAGAACAATAAAATACGAATAAAATATTTATTTAAACCAGTTGTGCAAACGTACATAGTTTCGTTGGCATTTTATATGGAATTTCCTTTTTCTCAAATTTAGTTATTCACTTGTTTAGCTTTCTTAAAGATCGTTTTATGAGAGATTTCCGCAAAAATGTCTAGATTTAGTTTTAGGAATATTTCACCGTTTAGTCGTCTATTTAAATCTATTGGAGGTAAGTGTTTTTAGAAATAATAAATAAAAGATATGAATTATAATGAATGAATAAGAATAAAAATTGCAGAATTAGAATGAATGATTTAGATGGAAAATTATGAAATAAAATTAACAAATTGGAATGAATATATAGAAATAGAATAATCGAATTATAATTCAGATTTCAAGTTAAATTTAATGAATTAGAATGATTTTGAATTAGTGATTGGAAATAAATTATGCCCGAAGACAGATCTTATGGACAGTCACAAATGTGTTGTAAGATGGCCAAAATGGAAGGGAACGATGGCAGTTCTGAGTCAGGGCCACAGTTTCTGCAATGCAGGTACTTTGTAGTTCCATCTTTTTGAATTTTCATCCCTCTCAGGGGGCGTGTTCTGAGTCTGGTAAGGGTGTTGCCCAGGGTCCTGCTTGTGTCTAGTTCGCAAATATGATGTTTCACTGCCTTGTCCCTTAATCTTGACTTTACCACTGCATTATTATCATTAAGTGTCACATAACACACAGGGCAATTTATCACTGTTGAGATTTTTTGCCTATTTCGGTAACTGAGAGCTATAAGCTAGCACAGACGTCAATGATGTTATCGAATAAAATCATTTTTTAAAACAGAAACATTTACAGCTTAATTTAAAATAATGGCTAGGTGGCATAGAAGCAGTGCGAAACATTAAAAAAAAATTCCATTTTTTTAACCTCTTTTTTCCAAATAATTTCATTGAAATTTTCGATCGATTTTTAAGCTAGAGGGCGAAAATTGCCCCTTTCATCCGCTGTCCAAATTTCATCACACTAGAACAATCGGAGTTATAAGAGAAACACACTGACACGAACAGTGACACAAACTCTTTATTACGTTATTATAATTATTGTCAAATTGTTCATGTTTAATTATTGTTAATAATCTGTGCCATTGTTTTCAATTAAATTATACAAAGACATTTTATCGCGTAAAAATTTCTACTTGGCAATATTGTTTGTGCATGAATTTGTGTGTGAATACAATTTTTTTTTGCGTTACATTTAAAAAAAGCCACTAATACCACTCACGGTTAGCCTGACAGCAAGAGGACTCAAACCCATGATCCGTCTAAGTCTAAGGATATTTTCCGTCGGTTGTGTGGTCTATGGTAGTCGGGGGTGGGGAAATCGTATCGACCAGCCATCGCTGGTATTCAAAGCCGCGGTTCACCTCATTCGAAGGGGAATGCTCTATACCCGGTCAACGTTTGGTAATTTTATCCACTGAGGGATGTTAATTGTTTATATTTTAGATTGTTTCGATTTAATTTAATTGTATTTAAAATGAAATTTAATTACATGAGCGGCAACCTTAAGTGACGTTTAACTCTTATCCATAGAAAGTTGTAGAAACTCGGGAGAAATACACCAGAGTAAATAAAACGTTCCTTGAGCGGGTCGGTACCATTTGATCCACTGTCCAGTAACGGTCCGTGACCCGGGGTTTTGCAAGTCCTTCAAGTAAATCAAATTTCGAAACAATACTCACAGATTCCTAATTTTTTTAGGACCACCGTCCATTTAGCAATTATAAAAGAAATGATATGCCTTTTAGATGAAAAAACAATAATAAAATAATTTATTAATAAAAAATGTGTCCCATTTAAATTTCATTATTAGTTTTGTAATGATTCCCAATGTTGTGTTGTTACATATGGCTTTATTGGAAATATTAATCCATATACAATGTTCAGCTTTAAGTAGACTTAAAAACAAGGAGTAAAAAGGAACAAAATTACAATAACAAACAAAGAAAACACATGACAAACACATATCAATACAAAAAGAACACATAGAAAAAAATTAAAGTCAGAAACAGTGAAGAATGAGGAGTAGTCTTTACAGAGAGTTCGTGTGATCTCTGGCATCCCAGTAAAGTTTACACAGATCACTTCGCTCTTGGGATTGTTTGTCCAGTAAAGGGCATACAAGCAAGTGATCTGAGTTCATGGTTCCCGAATTGCAGATTTGGCACTCTCTAGATGGAAGGATACCTATTTTGTTGAGGTTCTCTGCCAAGCAGTCTAGGCCCGTTGAGAGTCTGAAGTTTGTCACAGCCTTCTTACGAGGACTGTGGCAAACTGTTTTGGATGTTAGACCAGGGTTTTCCAGGATTCCCAATGTATTTATATTAGAGATGTTTTCAATACCAATTTCAAAGAAAGAGACTTCTCAAACAAATTCGACGAATTAGCTTGCAAATAAATATCTAATTAAAGATTATTTCCTAATGAAAACTGTGAAAAGAGTTTATAAATATAGAAATATAATCAGATCAAAATCATTGCAAATGCCTTACATAATAAAGCTCTGCGGGAAACATATATCAAAACCATACAAATTAGAGAGTTATATTTTTATAAGTAAACAATAGGAAATCCAAAATTAATTATAATGGATTATATTCCTTTAAATAACCAAACAAAGCAGAAACTAATTTAATTATGTAAAAAAAATCAATTAACAAAACGTTCGAAACTACTTTTTTATTTCTTATTTTAAAGGGAGAGAGAGAGTAAGCAAAAATTTATTAACAAAAATTTAATTACAAAATTTGCTTTCAAACTCTCGAAAAATAAGAATTCCTAACATTTTTCAAATAAATAAATACATGATTAATTAAGTTAAAGATAACGCTGGAGAAGCCATGATAGCCTGATTGGCAGGGCGCTAGACTCACGTTCGTGAGCCGAATATAGCCGCCCGAAGACCCCCGTGTAGTAAATGGTGACTAGTGCACGTCAATTCTGTTGGGTCACAAAGTCCTTAATGTTCCCACAGCAAATTAAACCTCTGAGGGTGCTGAATTGGAGATGGATCGTTCTTTGGTTCTGGTCAAAATTACGATCTGTGGATGAATGAATGGATGTATGAACGGGTCCACCTTATAAACGGATGTAAGGTATGCGTGCCTCGGAAGTCAAATTCTTCGTCATAGATGGCGCCGCTTAAAAACAGGAACAATCGCACCCCTTGCTTAATGAGCTACGACTACAACATAACACTGAAGAACAAATGTTTTGTTGAATTTATACCATTACTTAATCTTGTCTGATTCGGGTGAGAGAATAAAATATTTTAGTTAGTTTTGCTCATAAATTTTACAAATTTTTTTTTTTGAAAATGATATTATTGATCTATTTTTATTGAAATGTACAAGTTTAAAAACATCTATATGTAACAGGGGTTGTATGTTTATATGTAACATTTATATGTAACAGAAATGTTGTGACAAACTTCAGGAAGACTTATGCACATCACCCGAATGAAAATTACATTGTTACCCGTAAAGATCGTCGTAATAGGCTAGGGACGTTTCTTTATAATTACCTGCTTCAAAGCACAAGAAGAAACAGTTCATAATAGCTAGGCGCTCCTAGCAGCGCTTAGCGACATTTTTGGGCATGAATTAATATGCAATTTTAATCCTGAGGATTTATTCCAACTCCCCTAAAACTTGTCGCACTATTTACGCAACCTCCTTTACATATAATGTTTTTAATCTTGTGCATTTCGACGAAATATGGTCAAAAAATGTCATTTAAAAAAACTGAAGTTTGGAGAGGGAAACCTATTACAGATTTGAAATCATCGATACGAAAGTAAAGATCTGTTAAAAAATCTCATGCAATAGAAAACAACAACAGAATAAATTTTTAAATAAATAAAAATTTCCCGAGTGTAACCAGCCTTTTTACCGAAATTAAGGTTGCATGAGTGTAAAACGTTTTAAATTTAATGTACAAATTCGTAGAAGATTTGATGTTGAACACGACATCGGTCAAGAATAAAATTGTAAAGTGGATTATTAAATGTAAACAAACAAAAAATTTTAATAACATAACTGTTTTAGTAAGACTTATGATATAATGATGGAAATGTGAACGATTTTTCAAAGATAAAAACTTCTATCAAGTACTGTTACATCAGTACAATAAAAAAATCTAATTTTTATATCAAATAACGAAAAAGTTAACTATGAAAAATCCCAAGAAAATAAAGCTAAAAAAAAACCTTGGTCCTATAAAAAACTTTTTTGATTAAAAAACATCATGAAGATGGTAAGCGCCCATTCTAAAGACTCATCAGATGTTCATTCATTTCTTGAAAATCTTGAGAATAGACACCTATTTTTAAAGCGCTTGAAACAACTAGACTTTTATTATCATCTTTAATGTTTTGAAACAAATGAATTGTTCATATTATTAAGTATAATAGAATGAGTGATTTTAAAATAACGTATTATTTTCACGTGGAAAATTCCGAGAGAAAAAATCAGATCAGTTTCAGATACAATATTCAATTTAAAAATCTAATTTTCATGTCTTTTATTGTTTTTATTGTATACCTTTTATGTGATTTTAATATAGGTTAAAAAAAAACGACTACATTAAAATCGGATCAGCTTCTGATACAATATTCAATTTAAAAATCTTATTTTCATGTCTTTTATTGTTTTCATTGTGTACCTTTTATGTGATTTTAATATTGGTTGAAATAAACGATTACATTAAAATCGTGACTATCACATTGCAAAAAAAAAGTGTATTGTGCTTTTTATTTTTAGTTGAAAGAAAGTGTTTTGAGGGAAGTTATTCAGACATAAAAAGAAACTACAGAACGAGGAACATCACAGAAGCCGATATTCCTAAAATAGTCGAAATCCGAAAAACACTGAAGCTTCACGATTGCACACCCAGTCTTTATTCCTTCTATGAACTGGATCCTGAAGCGATTATTGTAGCTGAAGATCGTGATGGTAACAAGTGATCAACCTCTCAAATTGAATAATGCGGTGAAAATTGTGAACCTAATTCATATTTCATTACAGGTAATATTATTGGAACACATTCTATGCTAAATTTCGCAAATGGATTATATATATCCGGATTGACGTATGTTCAACAAGACTACAGAAAAAGCAATCTTGCACTTGAGGTAAGAGCATAAAAAAGGGAAAAAAAGAAGTAAAATTATGAATATTATCAAACAATTTTTAAAAAATTCAAAAACATTTTTACAAAACACAATTATATCCACGGAAATTCATTATATAAATTTATTATATTTATATTTTGAGAGATTATGTTGAAATTATATCTTTTTTGTTGTTATTTTGTAAATTTTAATTCAATTTTTTTTTAAAAAAACAGCATTTTAATATTATTTAATTTTTTTCCTTTTTTATCTTCCTGCTTTTCCTTTTTTAATTAATTTTTTCCCTTTCTTGGTTTTCATTGTAGTTTTCGTATTTTATGGGCTCTATGTACAGGCAAATTATAAAATAACTTTGCCTACATGTAAACCTCTGGTGAACTCATCATTTGTGGGATGCTGATAAAATTTTTTAAATAAGCATTATATTATATGTGCTTAAGAACTATGCCCTAAAAGCCTTAGCGGTTACAGTTACAAAAACGAAATTTCAAAGTTTTCAAAGGGCAACACACACAATTTATGATCGAATCATAATATTTGCGACAAAAAACATAAAATGGATTTGAAACGATATTTTTCGCATGAGAAATGGAGACACGAAACAGAAATAAAGGAAAGGTTGATTTTTCTTTATGTATATATTTTAATAATTGAACTTTCGTTCTTTGCCTTAGAAGATACAGGAAGTGTTGCTCATTTATCGTTAACCGGCGGGCACCTGTGAACCAAAGTCACGGAGGCGAGCAACATTACCCACTCCATACACTGCCACAGATACCGTGGGCCACATTACACAACAGAGGACGCAACACACAGAGAAATATCCACGTCCTGAGCGGGATTCGACGTAGTCATTGGCTTCACAGTCAGGCACGCTAACTACTCGGCCACCTGGCCGGCGTTTTTTAGAAAAATAAAATCGACACAAAACCATAAAGCGAAGATTTTTGTGTTTCACTAATATTCGATTTGTCTGTAGGAGTCAGTTCTAGCTCTCTAAACAAGAACAGGCCTGAAAGAAGATCTATTCTTAGCTGCGCAGGGAAATGTACTCGGAATTCTTTTCGTTCCGTTTTGTTTTCTTGTCATTTGACTTGACTAACAGGTCTCTTACAATGAAGCAACGAGGCAAAATCGCAATACTTTATTACCTAGACGAAATGCAACAGAGGCATTGCTTATTTATTGCAGAAATAAGCAACTACGACTGGGACCACGTTCTGCACAAGTTGTACGGAATTTAATACGAAAATTTGAAGATACATATGTGGTTGTTGTTGTTGTTGTTAATTTACGTCGCATTAGAGCTGCACAATGGGCTATTGGCGACGGTCTGGGAAACATCCCAGTGGATGATCCGAAGACATGCCATCACAATTTTGATCCTCTGCGGAGGGGATGGCACCCCCGTTTCGGTAGCCCGACTACCTGCGCGAAGTCGAGCACTTTACGGTAGCACAGTTTAACGAGGACCAATACATACAAAATGCTATTGAAATATAACCAATTCCTAATGAGGAAGGACTAGCNCCCGCCCACTGACCGTAGTCAGTGATGCTTGACTTCGGTGATCTGCTGGGAACCGTGTCTTAACGATCAGTCCACTACGGGGCAAGATACATATGTGATCGATCACAAACCGGAGGACCTGTTGAGGTTGTAGCGAAAGTACACCAAGGTGGCATAAGTCAAATTTCAAGCGCATGAGGGGTTTCACGCACGCTGGATGTACCGAACTTCTCTTATCGGTAAATTCTGCTCTCAGTTCTTCTATGTACCTTTTCCGATTTCAAAGGGCTTTGGAAGCAGACGACCATCAACTACGGTTAAATTTAAGATATGAATTTTTCATTCAGTATGACGCTAACAACAAAAGACCTTTATCCATTCTTTGGAGAGGCGAGGCTCATTTCTAGTTGAACGGTAACGTCAGTTCGAATAATTGTGTGTAAGATACAGAATCACACCCCCATTATGTGGTCACACTTCCGTAACATGGAGCTAAATTGACTGTGTGGTGCGGAACAACAAGCAGTTTCATCTTTGAGTACTTATTTTTTTATAAGAGAGCTCGTCCCAGCTCCAATTAATTTTTTACTGTAAGCATCACGTTTCAATCAAAAAAATGAGAGCTGCTATTTGAAAATTTTGAAATTTTTGAACTGTAACAGTCAGAGCTACGTAATCGTTTATGGCATACTTCATAAGTAATATAATATAATGCATAGATACAAAATTTTTATTAACCTCACTCAAACTGTAAACTCCCCAGAGTGTAATATATCCGAAGAGAGTTATTTTATATTACTAGCAGCAGGATGCAAACATAATGCACAATAATGGAAACAGTTTTATACTAATACAGTTTCTTGGGATTATTTAATATACATTATACATTCAAAAACAAATTTCTCTTACAAAATTGCTTTCGATTCTTTTGTGATATTAAATTTTTTTGTGTGCATTTTTGTGCCTTCAGATGATTCGCAAAGAAGCAGTACGACACAGACTCGAAAACAGACTGTTAACCACTTTCACCTTCGAAGCATGGGCAAAAAATTCAGATTATATTTTAGAATTTCAAGTCGACACCGGTTTTACTATTAAGAGATTCATTTCTACACAAAACCTAGACACCAATCTTCTCTCTCACGATCTACCCGAAGACGTTGCAATCCACGCATTTGACGAAAAGCTCTTGGAACTTGTGTATGACTATGATTTGCAAGTAGCTGGTTATGAGAGACGGGCCTTTCTGGATTTGAGTTTCAAAGAACCGAACAGTAGAAGCTTGGTTGCATTGAGGAAGGATCGATGTGTTGGATATGGTGGCATCAAGTTAACCTGTCCTGGTGCTAAGAGAATCGGACCACTCTACGCAGATGATTCCAAGATTGCTGAAGCGTTGATGAAATCACTTCTTAAAGGATTTGACGAAGGAAAAGGAGTTGTCATAGTAATTCCTACTCCTAATTCAGAAGCTCAAGCATTAGTGAGCAAATTAAATATGCCATTCAAAGACGGACTTTATCAACTTATCGAAAAGGGTTTTCCACAAGCAGATGTGAGTAAAGCATACGCACTGTTTGATTTGAATGGCACATCCATATGAAAATATATTTATACAACTATGCAGAAAATTATAATTATTCACTAGAAAAAACGTGTTGCATTATATTCAGAATTATTTACAAAATAAATCAACTTTTCATTTTTGATTGTTTTAAATGTCTGGATGAAAATTATCATGAATCCTTTAATTTTATTAAAACACTTCTAATATCCCTCAATTTTATTAAACAACTTTCAAATGTGAGCAATTTGATGACAATGTAAGCATTTTTTTCTGCATTTTGCATATTATATAAATATATATAATGGTAGTTAGATCAGTGGTTCCCAAATGGTGTTCCACGGAACCCTAGGGTACAGTGTAAGATTTCAAGGGGTTCAGCGATTTAAAATATTTTATGACCAGTGATGAGTTTTAAAATCTCTTATATTTAGATCTAACCTGTAATTCATAATTTATTTAATCTTATGGGACTCTATGAAATTATTTCAAGTAAAATGAAAATATATTATAAATGGCTTTTTGGAAAGAAAAATATACAATTTTTAATAACAATGTATTGAAAAAAATTATGGAATGACTTTTCGTAAAATATCCCATTATTATTTCCTATCACGCTTTTTTCAAATCAAAATAACTAACTTTTTTTTAATAAGAAAGATTCCATGATAAGCATTTTTAACGTTTATAGAAGTTCTTTTAGGTTTTTATTTAGAAGTAAACCGTAATTCGGCTTTTTTCTTTTCAAAATGATTTTCAGCAGGAAAAAATTGTTAATTAGACTATAGATATAGCACAAGGACTGCAAATTAAGCAGTAGTTTGAAAAACCTAATTTAAAATTAGTAATGATAAAGATTCCTGGGAGAAGGATTTTTAAATTGTGGGTTTTGGTATAATAAATAATTAAACGGGTGAGTAATATTAAACAACAAATTTAATTAAACAAATAAGTAACATATCGGACATGACAGTTTCATGACAACCCCACCTTGGTCACACCTAATACTACTACAGTAAGAATAAAACATTTCTGTATGTTTTCCCTCTTAGGGGAAAAGTTGAATCATTCTCCCTTTTTGCGTTTTATGAATCTCACTCTGGGGGTTCCACCGAAAAAAGGTTGATTACTTAAAGGTCCGTTGCCAAAAAAAAAAAATGGAACCATTGCTTGTGACATGAAATTTCATCTCATGTCACTGAATTTATGGGTTAAGTAACCTCGAGTCACTGCGAATCAAAAATTTTTTATTAAGTAACATCGAGTTATATGTACGACTATTTCAAAATTCAATTTCTCAAAAACTGTTCAACACATTTCGTTCATATTTTGTATTTTGCCACGTTAATTTAAATACTTTAAAATAATGTAAAAAAGTGCATACCTTACAATTCAAAATGTTTTCGACTATTAATAAATAAAATAATGAAAAATACTAAATGTTTGCTGACATTTAATTTTTATATGAAAATTATCTTTGAATAAACAAATATTATAATTCTGTGCAACATTTTTTTTCAATTCGCTTGAAACGAATTGAACAAATAAGCGAAAAGTAAAATTAACATTAAAGGGTCCAAAACTTGACCAAACTTTTGGGACCATTCCGGCAATGGGATTATACCAAGTACCCCTATATTTTGGGAGTCAGAGAAACGAATCCCGGTTTCTGACACAAAAACGTACTTTCTCTGAATAAGCATAACGATTTTTCGGCGAATTCTAATTTCTGATCCTCGAAATATAGGGGGAAGACGCTATATGAAAAATAGGTCCCCAATAATTTTATCAGGACAGTGATTCAAAGCTGGGACCCCATAATGCTAGCTAGCAGTACTTTTTGCGTATTTTGCTATATGCCGAGAACTTTTTAAACGAATTAAAAAAATATTTGCACACAATTCTGAAACTCGTTCATCCAAAGATATTTCAATGCAGAAAAAACTTTCAGTAAATATTTATCATTTTTTTATTATTTTATTTAATAATGGTTGAATTGTAAGGTATACAATCTTTACATCACTTTAAAAAAATTAATTTTTCTTTTCAAAATGCGAAATTTGAGCGAAATCGGTTGAATACTTCCTGAGCAATTGATTTTTAAGTATAGGACTTTTTAAAATGTAGCTTTTCTGGATCTAATACACCGATTTCGCTCAAAATCTGTATTTTGCGAAATGAAATTAAAGGGTTCTAGATTTGTATCATTCTCCTGATCAAACTATGGGGACCTTATTTCCCATATAGCATCTTTCCCCTACATTTTAAGGCAGGGCTCGAAAAACCACCCGTCCGCCCGTCCTCGGCGGTCAAAAATTCCCAACGGACAACGAATTTCTCGAATCCGACGTCCGCGTGGACGGCCATATTCCCGTTAATGTTCGTGATACATTTTCAATTTTTGTTATCTTGCAATCGTTTTTGAAGGAGATGAAAATTTTTCTCAAGAATGGGTGTCATTAAAATTTAAGATATATAACATCGTTAAACACCAGAAAACTTCAGCCCTCCGAGCCCAAGCACTATTTATAAAGACCTAATGCAGCAAAAAGACCCACAATACAGCAACATACTGCGCATGGTGGAATTGATGTTTCCTCTGTCTGGGAGTCCTGCAGCCGTTGAAAGGGGCTTTTCAGCAAGGAACTTACAAAAAAAAAATCTCATTACGTACTGGTCTTAAACAAGAAGCGTTAAACACAATTATGAACATCTACCTAAATAAAAAAAAACTTTCAGATTTCTGTGCAGAAACCTCTGTAAATCATTGACTTCATTGTGGAACAAGTTTAACGTCATATTTGATTCATTTAAAAAACACAGTACCCTCGGATAAATTGACATTCCAGATAACTTGACCTTTGCCATTTAAATTATTTCATAAAAGAAAGACATTATTTCTTAAAAGAAATACTAGGTTACTATTAGTAGCCTAGTATTTCTTATATTACTGTATAATGTAATCCTCGTAACTACTAATTCATTGTGCAATTTATATGAATGTTTGTAATAAATAAGAGAAAATTATATTTTTATTCATTTAGAAGCGACGGGTTCGTTTCAAAGAAGGACGGGTATATTGTTGGACAAGCCGTCCTCGGGGACGGGTAAAATTTCTGACTTTTTTCGAGCCCTGTTTTAAGGGTAAGAAATCCGTCGGAAAAAAATGATATGTTTATTGAGAAAAAGTACTTTTTTGTGTGTGATATCGTAATTTAAAATATCATCTGCACTTAACATATTTGAGATCACCCCTTCGATGCCATTAAGAGTTAATCTTAGAGACTATCATTAGTTTAAAATTTATTCAAGAGCTCTTCATCACTTCACGAAACACAAACGAAAATTTAAAGCGTTTTTTTTTCCTTCATAGTTTTAGAAGGAGGCAAACTTCTTGGTCAAAATTTTTTCTTCTGAGTTGTTCCCCTTTTCTTGGTTCTAATTTACGCTCAGGTGTAAATCAAAATTTTTGTGTGTGTGTGTGTATCACATTCTGTATTACTCGATATGAAAACAATAAAAATAAATTGCTGTCAAATAATAAACATTTTATTGTGTATTACTGATATAGTTAAGTGAGTCAATATTAGTCCAGACTCACAACTGACCTTGGATGACGCGAGTAGAAAGTAGAAAACAAAATTATGTCGAATATATATTGATAAACAAGCAGTTAAAAGTTTCCCAACTCTTTCTTTATATGTATAACATCATCAAATGAAACAAAATGTTAAAATTTCGCTTTCATTTTCTTTGTGAAAAATCAAAATGAATGAAATGTTTTGGTAAACACAAATACAATATTAGCACAACTGATTTTCAAAATTTATATTTTTGAAACCATTACACACGAAGAAGAATGGTTTCTGCCCGTTTTTCGGAAAATGAGCATTTTTCACGATTAGATCTCCATCTCATGCAATTTGAGGATTACTACATTATGAGAAATCAATAACCGGAAACATCGGCTCACCTGAGAGTTGTTACACAGTGAAGTTAGGCCATTTTGCGAATAAACAAATTTTGTCCAAGAGCAAAATCTTCTTTTCTCTCCGAATTAGATTTAACCGCTCACTATTCCACTGACGGATACAAGAACCGACGGAAATAAATATGAGAGGAAGTTTGAATTATGACCGCAGACGATCTCTCAAATTCAGACTCGCCGGTGTTGTCAAGTTCCTTCGTTCAAAGGGGGGATGAAATATTTCAATTCTACTCAATTTTATTTTTTCTTCCGCTTGTACTTCGTTCTTCAAAAAATAAATTATCGCATCAAGACTGGATAGTTTTCGTTCGCTTTCTAAATTTTTTCTTTGGCGTTCAAATGAGCGTAACACATTTAATGGTAATGAACTTTCAACAAGGGGATACAAAATTACACCACACATCTCAGATGTAACTCCTAGTGAGTTTAATGCTCTCAATTGAGTTGACAGT